TCTTCTTCTTTCGCCAACAACACTCATCCCTCAGGACCTTGGGTCCCTTCTGGGGCTGAACCCTGGTACCCCAAAGCATAACTCTACTTTCACTGATGGATATAAATAATACCACTGCGTAGTATCCAATCTGCCAAGAGTATGAAAGCCCTCAATATGGTCTCATTCCTTGAATATAAAAACCAACAACATGGTGGCAAATTGGTTACATTATATCATGGATGGGGTAATGACATATTTTGATTGAAAATGAGCACATATTCCAGATATGGGTTTGCATTTCTCATTTGCAGGGCTTTGACAGGCACAACTCTCCCAGGGTTTATGGGTACTTGATCCACAAACCTGGGATCTCATATGTTACGCATTGAATCTCACACCCCTAAATTCACATGTTGAAGTGCTAACCGCTGATACTTCAGAATGTGATGTTATTTGAAAATATGGTCATTAAAGATGTAATTACTTATGATGAAGTCATATTGGAGTCAGCAGGCCCCTACTTCAATACAACTGGTATCTTTATTTTTTAAAAAAGGACATTTTGACACATATATGTACACAGGAGAATACCATAGGAAAGAGAGGCAGGGATCAAAGTGATGCATCTTTGAGCCAAGTAACTCAAATGTCTACAAACAAACCCCCAGAAGCTTAGCATCAGGCATGCAGCATCCTCACAGGCCCAGCCAATTAATAGACCACATAACATCCCCTTAGACCAAGGGACAGAATTTGTAGCAAAACTATCAACAGCAGTGGACCATAGGATTTCCTGGTTTTATCAATCATAAACTGACAGATCAATGATCTTGAACATGCAGCATCAGAAGATGCCTTCTTCTTAAGATGAGCCACCATCTACCATAGCACCAGGTACACCCTGGTCATTAAAAGATATTGCAACCCCAGTAGGTAGAATATATGGTTCTAGAAAAGAGAGGAAATAGGAGTAACCCTGCTTACCATTACTCACACCAATTTAGTTGCCTTTTGTGTGTTTCCCACCTTAAACTCATTAGTACTGCCAAAGAGAAATCTTCCCTCTGCATATTTAAGGGTGAACAGGTAGGGTGTAAGACTGGGGCCTAGGCTTAACAGTGGCTAATGGGAGTCTCAGGATTCTGTAGATGGACTCTCACTGTCTTTTAGAGGCTGGGTGGCACCAGAGTCCCTGTGATAAATGTCTTCAAAGAATAAAGCTCTGCTCCTCTTGGATTGGGTAAAAAGCAGTCACCAGGTTACATGAGAATAGGAGAAAAGAAACTTGTTATAAAGTCTATTAGAATCCTACTTCAACATTCCTATTATCTACTTTCAAAGCTACTGATTGACTACAGTTTTGTAGGCTTTCTGAAATTGTGCCACGGTTTTCCCATATTTACCATAAATTCCAGACCTTCTACTCTTCTCAGTTGCCTATCTTTTTAGTCCACCTGTTTTATAGTTTCTAACCATTCTCTTTGCCCTTGTAAACTGCTGCCTTTATTCTCCCTTTTACTGTCACTCAGTGTGATTTCAAGAGAGATCAGAAGTAAATGCAAGGGTTCAATCCTCATGTTTTACCTTAACCAATTTTTTTTAATTGGAGAAACTAAGGCCCTAGGAGGGATAATGGCTTGCACCAGGTTATACAACATAACCAGGCTACAAGTGAAGTCTCCAGACAGGTATTCAGGTCAATATTCTCTGCGAAAGAACCAAAAGGTATGAAAATAGGAAGATGCAGTAATTCAGTAGGGTGGTTTGGGGAGAGGAATAGGAATAAAGGCAGAGAGTATTGTGAGGGTGGGCTGAGAAAGAGATTTTTGATGTTTCTATTAGTGTATTATATATAATAGTGGGGTTCACTTTGACATAATAATGAATGCAGGGAATATAATTTACTCCATTTCAATCCCCAGAACTGCTTCTTTCCCTCCCCAGTACTGCTTCTTTCCCTCCCCACCTCCCTGTTGTTGTTCCCTTTCCTCTATTATACTGGCCTTCCATTTATTTATTTATCTATCTATTTATTTATATGTAATTGTTGCTTTATAGATATAGATAAAGGTGGAATTCTCATGGTATATTCATATGGGTACATAGCATGATATGGTCGATTTCACTCTGCAGGTTTTTCCCCCATGCCTCCTCCCTCTCCTTCAATCCCTTTGCTCTACTCCACTGCTGATTTCCCAAAGGATCCCCCCACCCCTTCTTTTTCCTTTTTTTTTTTTTTTTTTTTGCTCTAGCTTCCACATATGAGAGAAAAAATTCAATCCTTGACTTTTTTAGTCTGGCTTCTTAAATTAGCTGCTAGCTAATGACATAATCCCAAATATAGAAGACCCCCCCAAAAACTATACTAGAATACTTCTGGAGTTGATAAACAAATTCAGCAAAGTATCAGGATACAAGGTCAACATACAAAAACCAATAGTTTTTCCTGCACTCCAATAAAGAATCCACTAATAAAGAAATCAGGAAAACTATAATTTTTTAAAAAATTATACTTTGGGAATAAATCTAACCAAGGAGATGAAAGACCTCTACAATGAAATCCTCAAAACACTGAAGAAAGGAGATGACTTTAGAAGATGGAAAGATATCCCATGTTCTTAAATACTATTATCAAAATGGCTATATTACCAAAAGCAATCAGATTCAATACATTTTCCAGCAACATAACGATGACATTATTCACAGAATGAGAAATTAAAATAGTTCTAAAATTCATTTGAAATAACAAAGGACCCAGAATAGCCAAAACAATACTGAGCAAGGAAAGTGATGCTGGAGGCATCACAATACCTGATCTCAAATTACATCACAGAACCAAAGCAACAAAAACAGTATGGTAAAAAGCAAACATGAAGACCAATGGAATAGAAAAAGTAGAGAGAAATCCTTATCAATAACTGATACTTGACACCGGTGCCAAAACTATTATGTTGGGAAAAAGACTGCCTTTTTTAACAAATGGTCCTGGGAAAACTGGACATCCATATGTAGAAGAATGAAACCAGATGCCTCTCTCTCACCCTGCCTGCACAAAAGTCAACTCAAAGTAGATCAAAGACCTAGGAATTAGACCAGAAACACTGCAACTGCTAGAAGAAAATATAGGATCAGCACTCCAACATATCGACACAGGTACCAATTTCCTTAACAAGACCCCTAAAGCTCAAGAAATAAAACCAAGAATAAATAAATGGGACTGTATCAAATTTTAAAGCTTCTACATTAAAAAAAGGAAACAAGAGTGTAAAGACAGAGCTCACAGAATGGAGGAAAATCTTTGCCAGCTACTTCTTTAATGGGGGATTAATATTGAAAATATATATAAAGAATTCAAAAAACTTAACACTAAAAAAGGGGGCCCCAACATAAATAATTGGGTAACAGAACTAAATAGACATTTCTTAAAAGAAGAAATACAAATGACCAATAAATATATGAAAAAATTTTTTGAACATTCCTAGAAATCAGGGGAATCGTAAACCAAAACTGCACTGAGATTTTATCTCACTCCAGTTAGAATGACAATCACCAAAAATACAAATAATAATAAATTCTGGTGAGGATGTTGGGGAAAATGTACACTCCTACAATGTTGATGGGACTTCAAATCAATATAACCACTATGGAAAGCAGTATGAAGATTCCTCAAAAGACTACTCAAGAACCACCATAAGACCCAGCTATCCCATTCCTTGGTATTTACACAAAAGAACCAAAATCAGCATATTATAGTGATACAGGCACACCTATGTTTATAATAGCACAATTCACAATAGCCCAAAAGCCCACCAAAAAATGAATGGATAAAGAAAATTTAGTATACACACACACACACACACACACACAGTGGAGTTCTACTCAATCATGAAGAAGAATAAAATAATGGCATTTGTTGATAAACAGTTGGAACTAAAGACTGTTATGCTAAGTGAAATAAGCCAGATTCAGAAAGTCAAGGAAAGATATTTTTACCCTTGAATTTTCTGGCTTCTATATTCAATATTCTAGCCTTTGGCTTCTGGTTGACTGTCTTCAAATTCCTTCAAATTATTCATTGTCTTCAGCAGCTCCAATCTGTTTGCCAGTGTCCTATTGCAAAACATAGTCCTATTTCTATTCTATATTCCTTCCCAGAAATAGAATGTTTTCACGATGTGGTTCTACTCAAATAGCCCAGATCCACAAATGTTCACAATGATTCCTAACTACCTCTGGGATGAAACCCAAATCTCTTGGTTATTCAGTAATCCTGAATTAAGTGGTTAGAAGGGATAACTGAGAAAATGAGAGGCAAGAGATGAGAGCAACCTGATACAAGAATATATGATGAAGGTTGGTGCCAGAAGCTAAACATGACTCCAAGGCCATAGGCTTGGGTGACTAGGGAGAATTAGGACAGGAAAGTCAAACATGCAGATGAGTGTGGTTTCAAACATGGTAACAGAGAGAAGGTAGTGTGATGGCCACACAGAAATGAGGGGACAGATGAAAAGTAAGTGAAAGAGGTAACCTTGCATAATGGGATCACAGGATCAGTAACTTTGTACATGCCTCTTGTTATGGTCTGTATACAAAATGTCCCCAAAAGGTTTATGTGATAGAGACTTGGTCCCCAGTGGATGCAGAGATGCACAGAGGTAGGGCTTTTAGGAAGTGACCAGATCATGAAGGCACTAAACTCATTAAACGATTAATTCGTCATGTTGAATAAACTATGGGGAGGTGGTGGAAACTGTAGGAGGTGACACCTGGTGGAGAAAGTAGGACTCTAGTTATTATCCCTTTGATAATGCAAAATGATCTGCCTAATTCAAGATCCTCAAAGTAACACATCTATAGGTCCTGGGGAGTACACATAGACATTCACAGGGGAGCTTCACTCAGTCTACCATAATAACTTTCAGATAACACTCATAACCATTAGTTTTTGTCAAGATTTGATCAATATGTATCAATACCAGGAGTGAGTGAATGAATGAATAAATCAAGACCTTTCATTAATTCAATACATATTTATTATTGGGTCCATCATGTGCATAGCCATGTTTTAGATTATCTTCAGAGTATGTTCAGGAAACCAGTGCTTATTTTACACAGTTAACCCTGCTTGATATCAAAGGAAACCCTCTGTCATATTAGAATAGTCACCACTTTATTGACTAACATGGAATCAAGACAAGAGAACAAAGAAAACCTACCAGTTAGACTTATTTTGCTTAGCACATATGACTATCCATACTATAAAAAATAGTGCAAAACAGAAAATCCTTATAATGTCATCTGAAGTAAATTCTAAGGGTGGGTCACCAGGAATCTCATTACCATAAAAAATTAAGACTCTTGGGTTTGGGCCAGAAGGTGGAGATTCGGTTGGCTTTTTGATAGGTACCTGTGAGCCCCTTACACAGATGCCCAGAGTGCACGCCTCACAATTGCTCCTGTCATGGGGCCCATTCAACCCCACGACTGGAGCAACCGGCATCTTCCTGAAGTTATGCCCATAGTAGCTGTGCAGAATACACTGCGCCAGGTTGTTCAGAATTCTCATGGTGCTATCTGAAGAGAACTCAGGATTCTCAAATTGAGACCAGGAACACTTCTGGCACCTCTGAGCAAAAATCCGCAGAAGCACCTGGCCATTGTATATCCGGTGCTGCATAGACATGTGGCACAGGATCTTCACTTGAGCAGAAGCCCAGCTTCGATGGCATGAGGAACAACAGAACCTGCAAACACAAAGAAGAAACTGTGTGTCCTCGACTGGCATTGCTGACCTGAGGGGAAATGGCCCTGATCTGAAATCCCCTTCAATTAATTAGCACATAATTAGATAAAGGTTTTTCCTGTGTTCATCTGAGTTTCTGCTCACGGGTTGCCCCAAATCTGCCTCTTTGCTAGTAAAAACATCTTTAGATGCCTCAAAAGAAAAAGAATTACTATCATTGGCAGTGAAATTTGTTCCCCATTGTGGTGACAGAAAACTTTTATAAAGTACCAATTTTGAGGCAGGTACTGTGATCAGTGTCTTACAATGTCATCTCACTTAATTATTCCTATGAAGTAGGTATTATTGAGCCCAATATCCAGATAAGGAAACCAGGTCCTAAAAGGTCTCCACAATCTCTTCAGGACATACAGGGTAAGTGGTAAAGGGATGTTTTCCAGTAGTAGTTCAATGTATATGAAAATACTTTATAAAATACAAAATGCTTTTTCAAAAGCTGATGGATATTTTCCAAAAGCAGGCTGGTTGGTTGCTTTTCCCATCTCAAAATGACTATCAAATCAATTATCTAGTGTCAAAATGATAAGAGACATTGTGAGTCTGGTGTGGAGAGAGACACTTCACTGAATTACAAAGCAGAACAGAAGAGCAGCACATGCGCTCTGGCAGGTGGCTTGAAAACTGTTCTTCAGAGCCACAGGAGGCTTCATTTTAAAAAATCAGATTGTGTAGGTCAAAATGAATATATAGATTATATAATATTTTTAATATTAGATTATTTAAAAGTATATATTACTTTTATTATATACATAGTCATTACCTGATAAGAATGTAGAAGAAGGAACTTCCTCTGCTCAGGAGGACCAGCAAAGGCCTTAAGGAGGCTCAGCCCCTTGGATGTCCTTGAAGGGTGAGTTGGGATAGAGTGAGGAAAAGGGCTTGCCAATCAGGCACAACATTTTCACAAGGATATGGAAGCCTGAGAGTGTATGTCCTGCTACTGGCTCATAAGGAGTGGCACACAGCAAGCCTGAAGTAGGACAGGGATAGGCAGTCAGCAGGGTAATATGTAAGATAAGTAAACTGAGGTCTTGGTTGTCATATAGAGGACTTCATTGTCCAGGTCAGTCATGCTCACCCTACTGACATGGGTAAGGAAGCTGGTTCCTGAAACCTGGAGGCTTGCTGAGGGTTAAAGAGGGAATATCCAACAGGGAGGGGTGTTATTACAAACTCCTTGGACTAGGGTTTAGATCTGGATTTTGCAGCATCATTATCTCCTGTTATCCCCAGGTCATTAGTAATGTTCAAAATGACTGCTTGATATTAGTAGATTGTTAGAATGTTAAAGCAGGGATCAGATCCCAGACTAGTAACCTGTGCCAGGGCACAGAGAGTTGCTGCAGCTTGGGAGGCCGGTCAGGACTGGCTGATAAGAAAGACTTCAGAGGAATCTAGGGGTGATTGCAACAAATGAGTAATGAGAGGCTAGGAGGGCAGATTTATAGAGCTTAGAGGCATTTTGCAAAGATTTCCAGAAACATTTAGGGAAGAAAACCTAGTAAAAGAGGAAACTTGCTGCATTTAAACAAGATGGAGTCTTACAGTCTGTTAGACCTTAAAGAGCACCGTAACCACAGAAGCCTGGAGAACATGATGACATTTATTGTTTCAGCAAGCTCACAAAGGGATAACACAAGGCTGAGCTGAGCCTCTCTGCTCAGGAAGGCCTAATGCTGAGCAAAACCACACTTACCTCCCAAATGCTCTCTGCATGTACTGCCTCCATCCTCGGGCCATGCCACCCGGCTGAATGTTCTCATCCAACTTCAGGGTCCATTTGGCCCAGGGTTTCTCCTGCTGGATCAGTTCTTGAAGCTTCTGCTCCCATGTACTGACATCCAAGTACATCCTCCTTCTGCCGAGCATCAGGATTTAAAGAACAGGATTTCAGTTTTGGCCTAGGATGGAGAGAAAGGTAATCCTGTCTTCCCAGAGGTTAGGGAATGGGAAAGGGAGAGGAGAAAAAAACAACAAAACCACGGTTTGTTTCCCCGTTCAGTTCAGTTCAGTTTCAGTTTCCTTTTCCTAACACAGACTGGTTTTTTTCCCTTGCATTTTGAACTGAAAACACAGAACAATTCTTTGTTCTGAAGACAGAGGGCAGCAGAGATGCGTTACTTTGTTAAGAGGCCTTGCTGAGAGACAGCAGACTACAGGGCTCTGTTCTAGACTTTTGTGGCACATACAAGTCAGCTTTCATTTTATTTTTCTCCCAGTTTTATAAAAGGCAAAGCACTAATTTTGTCATTGGAATAAAGGAGGAACTTGCAACTAAAAAACAATTCCTACCCCCATGGAACTGAAGACCCAGAAAATAGGTGGAGGGAGGATACGTTCAAAACTATTCTCACGTACCTGAGAAGTCCTCATTGCAGTCCCCCAGGAGAAGATTTTCCTATGTTTTGCAGGTGAGCCACACAGACAGCTGGGGTATCTTGCCCAAGGCCACACAGCAAGTAAGTGGAACAGTGGTCCACCTCATGCTTTGAATATAGCTCGTGCCGCTCTGTCACTGAGGCTTATTTTAAAATGGAAATCTTTTTTCTCCTCTCCCTTTCCCCTTCCCTAACCTCTGGGGAGACAGGATTACCTTTCTCCCCATCCTAGGCCAAATTATATGTCCTACAGCACACATCCACCACAGGATCCAAATAATTCAGTCTTCAAGGATGGCACAAGAAGATCCAAGAAATGGCTATCTCTCAAATTATCAAGTGAACCACTGCCCTCCCCCCTCACCTTCCAGGGAATACCTAGAATAAATGAATTTTTAAAAAATCCTCTGTTCTCCTTGATGGGCAGAATCATGCCTCTGGGACAGGAGTCCCCTGTGTTTCTCCTATGCTAGCAAAGCAATAAACTTTCCTTTTCTTCTTTCTCAAAACTGTATCCTTCTTATTGACTTGGCATCATGGACAAAGACCTGGTTTTGAATAAAATCTTGGCAATCCAGATGGGACTCACAAGTGGCTTCTGCTCTGGCTTTGTTGTTCAGGTCTGGCACTCCAAGCAACTGCCCTTCCGTGCAGAATTCCTGTGAGTAGAAAGACTGAGGGACTGTCCCAGAAGCTGCCAGAAAACCCCTTTGCTTTGGGGGAAATCCCGCCTTCTCCCCCTGAATGATACTTGTGGGAGACCAACCTAGCATGTGACTGAGTTAACTCCCCTGCTGGGTGATATGGCGTCAGGCACCCATGCTGCTAGACTGCCCCGCTCTTCTAGGATTTGAGTGACTGTATCTTCATGCCTGGGCATGGCTTCCTACAGCCCCATGGGTGGAGCTATGCTCACCTGTTCCTTTGTAATATTACCCCTTACCCTGTTTAGGATAGAATGTTCCATGGAAGTGCCTTGTGTGTGTCCCCTTCTCTTACTGTGCCCTTGAGTGTGGTCAACCTAGATGTCAGTCAACCTGCTGACAGCAGACATCATAAAGATAGACTCAGCCCCTTGAAACCTGACCCCTTGCCTCATTTGAATAACTTCTCCTCAATAAAAGGGGTCAGCGTTCTCTCTCTCTCTCTCTCTCTCTCTCTCTCTCTCTCTCTCTCTCTCTTCCTGTGGACCCTTAAGGTATTTGTGTCTCTTGTGTGGTTATTTTGCACAGCCCAGTGAGCCCAGTTTACCTGGAGTGACCCCTGAGCCTTTTAGTCGTGAACAAAACCCCCGTAGATACTGATTGCTCCATCTTGATCTACTTTGAGGAAAAAAAATAAAAGAATGCAGTAAGTTGTGACACTGTTGGCCATCTGGTTAAGTCCCCTGGTATGCATGCTGAGACCCTTCATTCCACACACCTAATTGCCACATCTGTGGCACCTCTGTCATAGGAGTCACAGTTAAGCGAGAATAAGGAATTTGGAGAAATTTTCCCCTATCTGGTCTGTCTGTTTTAAAGGTTCCTGTCTTTCAGCCATAGTTTTGGGGGATCCTCTCTGGTCATCTCTCTGTGTGTTTTTGTTTGTATTTTTTTACTGGCCCTTTTAAGACATGAGCTATACGTTGTTGGGCCACCTGTAGGTATAAGCCTGAGAACAAGATGCTATTTTTCTATAACACAATGTGGCCTTTAAATGGCTTTCTGAATTATTATACAATCTGTAGTCAGAGGAAAAATAAGTGGAAGAAATTCTGTATGTACAAGTATTTTTGCAGTTACAAGATAAGGAGTCAGAAACTTAGCTGAGGGTGCAGAGACCACTGCCTCTGGTGTGCAAGGACAGCAGGGCACCAACAGAAAGGGTTAAAAAAATTAAATTCTTTCACCCCAGTGCTGCCAGTCCCAGCACTGACTTTCTGCCTGGCCCCAGGTATCCTCAGATCATCTCGTTGTAGGTCAAGAACAGTAGTCCTGTGCTAAGGGGGGAAAAAAATCCCAGCCCTGGGTTTGGGCTATAGAGAAATGGAAAAGGAGAACCTGGCCTCTTTCCTGCCTTCCAGCCTCTTTTTGCTCATGTGATAAAACAAGTCTGCAAACAGGGCTCAGTTCCTCACTTCTGTTGTCAAGTGGGGTCTGTGAGGGCTGAGGGCCTCAGTGATTCTTCTCTGGGTTCTTGTCTCACAGATTCAATGAATGAAATCCACGTGTTATGGTTTGGATATTAGGTGTCCCCCAAAGTTCATGGGTGAGACAAGGCAAGAAGGGTTTAGAGATGAATGGTTGGGTTATGAGAGCCTTAGCCTAATCCATGAATTCATCCCCTGATAGGGATTAACTGGGTGATTACTGTAGCAGGTAGGATATGACTAAAGGAGGTAGGTCACTGGGGGCATCTTTCTGTCTCTAAGCTTCCTGGTGTCATGTACTGAGACACTTTCCTCCACCACACTCTTCCACCATGATGTTCAGCCTCACCTCAAGCCCTGAGGAATGGAAACTGTCTATGGATTGAGGCCTCTGAAAGTGTGAATCCACCAAAGAAAACTTTCCTCCTCTAATTGTTCTTTTCAGGTCTTTTGGACATAGCAGCAAAAAAAAAAAAAAAAAAAAAAAAAAAAAAGCTGAATAAAACACCATGGATGGTGACAGAAGGCAAAAGTTAAAGGACCAAGATTAAAAGAGAAGGAAAGATGGAGCTCCCAAAATGTAAGGGGGAACTGGCTGAGGGTTTTTCCACTTAGGCAAACTACTCTGGGTAGGGTAATTGATCGGAGTCAATGCCAAACAGGCATTAAAAAAGTGTTGAGGCTACTGGTTGGAATCTATATTGCACAGACATTGGGTGCATACTGGTTATTGTCTCAGCCCATGACTTTCTAATTGGCTGTGCCCTTTTAGTCCTTGAGTCTAAACTTTTCTGAATCTCCATTTAGGTTCATCCTTACTTTCATTTTCCCACTACTCTGGGACAAAAGTGTGCACTAGAATGTTCAGAATGTTTCTACAGGTTAACCTCATAGAGGTGAGGGTGAGGCCCATTACCCTGATTGTCTGACCATTAACTATCCTATCTTATTCAGGGGGTAAATGATGCCAGGCACGAAGGACATGAAAATGGGTTCCAGCACTATTAGATTGTAATCTGGAAACAAAAATGGTGTCTGTAAGGTCCTTGCTTAGCATCTGGATGGCCATCTTATGTGACAACTGCCATTTTAAGGAAAAAGTTTTGCTTTCCCACCCAAGGGCCTTTCTGAGAAAGGCTCATCACTCCCTCTACCAACCCACCCCTTAACCACCCACATTAGGACCCATCTGGCACTGATTCCTGAGCCTCCCCCATAAAAGTCCCAGAACTCAAGCCTGTTTTGCCTCTCTCCACTACAGAACTGACAAATGAACTCTTGTGTGCATCTTTGCCTGGTCTTCTTCTTTCATTTCTTGCTTACCTGTCTCTGGTTCCTTGCTTTCCCTTCAGTGTCCCCTTTCATCAATCTGACAAGATGCCCCATTTGTCCAGGTGACAATTCTGGGTGAGTCCTACCTGTTGTCCACAGAGCAAAAATACAAGGGCCTCTACAGACACCATCTATGCAGGCACCTGTGTCTTGGCCCTGCTGATTTCTGCAGAGAAAGGTCCCTAACAATCTCTGTATGGTCAATGTGACCTTCATTGGACAGAGTGCCCTGGACATAAGAAAAAAAAAGAATCTTCAATGGACAGAGAGGACAAACTGACATAAACCCCTCACAGCCAATAGATATATATATATATATATCTGGCAGGAATAGAAAACTAAAGCCAACCTTTGGGGGGTTTTTGGCAGCCTCCACAAAGGGATCCTCAAGGAAGGAAAAGGATAAAGAGGGCCTCCCTCCAATAAATACCAATATGCCTACTGTAAGAAACCTCACCCCCCCCCCCAAAAAAAAAGCCTCTGGGTAAAATTGGCAGTGGGGAATTCACTTAAAGTTGTTAGCATTATGATAATTATAAGGGTGATCCATCAGGCTCAACAATAGCCTGTGCTCCAATCACTAGCATGCCACCTGGGAGAAAAAAGATTAAGGCACAATTTTTGCATATGACAGATTGTCCAATCCCTTTCCTGAAATGAAATTTTTGTGTAAATTAAATGCATAGATAACATTTATAAGAGTTGCTTCAGAGTCATAATTTAAGTAAGGAAGGATCTAAAACTAGAAAAGAGATATAAGAAACATAGGTAAGAAAATATATTTTAGTTTGAAGAACTATAAGAAAAAAAATGTTATGGTGTAAGACATACAGGGGTGCCCCCAAGGAATCAAATACATGCCTGAAAGTAGCTCAGCAAGGCAAATTTACTTCTGCTAGAAGGGTGTGGTACTGAACATGGCTAGCTTGGGCCAGCAGTCTGCCTGTTTTTATCCCTAACACAGTACTGCCCTTGCTCTGTTAGGAGGAGCTTGGGATTGCAATCTATGAGACTGGCTAATTTTAAAATTGGGGATGGCAAAGGGGAAGGCTATAGTTTAAATAGATATTATTGGATCTTATAGCCCAATTAAAGATAATTACTATATTCTGAAAATAGACCACTGGACTGCCTATTTCTCACAAGGCCCCCATATTTTCTTTTTATATCTTTTGGTCTC